CCCACCATCTCTTCTACATGTGAATGCAGGGCTGGCACTGCCTTTTTGGCGAAGAAATGCCGGCTTGGCACTCTCCACCGCGGCGCGGCACAAGCCATCATTTCTCGGAAAGGTGCTGAGTCCACCACTTGGAAAGGGAGGGACTGCAGCACCAGCAACTTGGACAGGAGGACGGTCAGCTTCTGCACAACGTCGGGTGCGTGCTCGCAAACTGTTGTCTCTTGGAAACGGATTCCAAGAAAGACTGCTGACGGAATCCGTGAAGAGGAGTAGCAGGAGAAGGAGCATCTGAACGAGCGGAAGATGCCAATGAGCGACAACTCCCCCTCAGCAGAGGTGTTGGAGCCTTGACTGGCTGATAGAGGGCGATTGACGTCGGGTGACGGAGCAAGTAACAGAGCGGGTGATGGAGCGGGGGCTGGGGCAGGCAGAACTGCCGTATCTTTATCACGGTTTTTCCCAGGCCACCAAATGGCGGCTGACGCAACGCTGTAGTCCCAACATGGGCCCCCTGGCCACGCTTGACTTTCTGGCCACATAGTCGACATACGGCTACGTTTACTTCCTCGGGCGGCTTGACGAAAAATTGCCACACCGCCGAGTAGGAAACTTTGCCCCCCGCTACTCCTCACTGGCTGACTGCTACTTCCTCCGTGCACACCGGCACCACTACTGGCCGTGGTGGTAGGCTGCAGTGGAGCTGGTGCTCTACCCGTGGCCGTTTGCCTCCACTGACACTGCTGCGACCCTGCTGCCTCCTGGGCAACCCACCGACTCTTTTGCTCGCTCGCTGCCAAGCTGGCACCCTCTTCTCCTGATGATGCGGAAGCAATAGCCTGATGACGACGAGGCTGCCAAGTGCGATCAGCCTCATCATCATCAATTAGGTCTCTGCCTCACTACTAGCCCCCCTCGGCTGCATGTGGGTCAGGAGACAGACCTGTCTCTCTAGACCGGCTACCGAGCCACTCTCCTCGCCAGTACTTCTTCGCCTGGCTGCTGAAGAGGCGGATGTCCTCCCCCCCATTCCTGACCGCCCTCTGTTAGCTCTTCCTCACTGTACAGTGGGGCTGAGCCCACAGCATGCGATACTTCGCTTGGTGAGGGAACACCAAAGGACAGGGGCAGGTAGAGGACACGTGATTTCAGTGGGCTTGCTCCCGGGCCATGCCAACTAACGGTTTGTGTCTGACGTACCCACCGACCGTTGGCTGTAGGTGTCAGAGGTGACCTGGGAAGAGGAAGACGACCGAGCCAACCAATCGATGACGGCAGGGTTGTCGGTGGAGACACGACCCGCTGGATGACACCGGGAGCACTGGCCTCTGGCTGCGACTAGTGCTGCCTCGACCCCTTCCTCTGCTGCCACGTCTGCTCGCTCCTAAAACATTGCCTCCTCTGCCACTGCTCTGCGTGTTGTCTGACATACTCTTTAATTCAACGATTCTGTGTCCCTGAGTAACAATTCTGTGTCCCTCAGTAACAATTCTGTGTCTGTCCCTGAGTAACAAATTCTGTGTCCCTGAGTAACAATTCTGTGTCCCTGAGTAACAATTCTGTGTCCCTCAGTAACAATTCTGTGTCTGTCCCTGAGTAAACAATTCTGTGTCTGTCCCTGAGTAACAATTCTGTGTCTGTCCCTGAGTAACAATTCTGTGTCCCTCAGTAACAATTCTGTGTCCCTCAGTAACAATTCTGTGTCTGTCCCTGAGTAACAATTCTGTGTCCCTCAGTAACAATTCTGTGTCCCTCAGTAACAATTCTGTGTCTGTCCCTGAGTAAATTCTGTGTCCCTCAGTAACAATTCTGTGTCCCTGAGTAACAATTCTGTGTCTGTCCCTGAGTAACAATTCTGTGTCCCTGAGTAACAATTCTGTGTCCCTCAGTAACAATTCTGTGTCCCTCAGTAACAATTCTGTGTCCCTGAGTAACAATTCTGTGTCTGTCCCTGAGTAACAATTCTGTGTCCCTCAGTAACAATTCTGTGTCCCTGAGTAACAATTCTGTGTCTGTCCTGAGTAACAATTCTGTGTCCCTCAGTAACAATTCTGTGTGTCCCTGAGTAACAATTCTGTGTCTGTCCCTGAGTAACAATTCTGTGTCCCTCAGTAACAATTCTGTGTCCCTCAGTAACAATTCTGTGTCCCTGAGTAACAATTCTGTGTCTGTCCCTGAGTAACAATTCTGTGTCTGTCCTGAGTAACAATTCTGTGTCCCTCAGTAACAATTCTGTGTCCTCAGTAACAATTCTGTGTCCCTGAGTAACAAATTCTGTGTCTGTCCCTGAGTAACAATTCTGTGTCCCTGAGTAACAATTCTGTGTCCCTGAGTAACAATTCTGTGTCCCTGAGTAACAATTCTGTGTCCCTCAGTAGTAACAATTCTGTTCTGTAAACAATTCTGTGTCCCTCAGTAACAATTCTGTGTCCCTCAGTAACAATTCTGTGTCTGTCCCTCAGTAACAATTCTGTGTCTGTCCCTGAGTAACAATTCTGTGTCCCTCAGTAACAATTCTGTGTCTGTCCCTCAGTAACAATTCTGTGTCCCTGAGTAACAATTCTGTGTCCCTGAGTAACAATTCTGTGTCTGTCCCTGAGTAACAATTCTGTGTCCCTCAGTAACAATTCTGTGTCCCTCAGTAACAATTCTGTGTCTGTCCCTGAGTAACAATTCTGTGTCCCTCAGTAACAATTCTGTGTCCCTCAGTAACAATTCTGTGTCCCTCAGTAACAATTCTGTGTCTGTCCTGAGTAACAATTCTGTGTCTGTCCCTGAGTAACAATTCTGTGTCTGTCCCTGAGTAACAATTCTGTGTCCCTCAGTAACAATTCTGTGTCCCTCAGTAACAATTCTGTGTCCCTCAGTAACAATTCTGTGTCTGTCCCTGAGTAACAATTCTGTGTCTGTCCCTGAGTAACAATTCTGTGTCCCCCTGAGTAACAATTCTGTGTCTGTCCCTCAGTAACAATTCTGTGTCCCTCAGTAACAATTCTGTGTCTGTCCCTGAGTAACAATTCTGTGTCTGTCCCTGAGTAACAATTCTGTGTCCCTAAGTAACGGTTCTGTGTCCCTAAGTAATGGTTCTGTGTCCCTAAGTAACGATTCTGTGTCCCTAAAGTATCTGTGGCCCTAACTCTGTCCCTAATACAGAGAGGTCTGTCTCTCTTGAATGACCAGAGGCAAATGGAGAATTGTAAGATGGCCGCAATTTATAGCTCCACCATTACACAGTGCTGGCTGGCTGGCTGCTGATTGGCTAATGCGATCACATGTCATGAATTAATGCATTATGGGTCAGCGCACCTTGTCTGCGCGCCTTCCCAGAGATCCCCGCTCCGTCGCCGCACATGTCGCCGCCATTTTTGGAAAAATTTCGATTCGCGCATCCGAAGTCTGCTAATTTTCGGATTCGGCGCGAAATTTTCCTAATATTCGAAACGAATTCCACTTCGCCGAGTTCGATTCGCTCATCTCTAGTATTGACACAGCTCCAGATGATCCACATTGGCTCACAATTGATATGATCCAAAAATATTTAGACAGAATAAAGATGAATAAAGCACCTGGACCGGATGGCATACACCCACAGGTCTTTAAAGAACTGAGCTCTGTCATTTCAAAGCCATTTTTTTCTAATTTTTAGGGACTCTTTAATGACTGGCATAGTACCACTGGATTAGCGTAAGTCCAATGTGGTGCCAATATTTAAAAAGGGGTCAAAATCTTTACCAAGTAATTATAGACCTGTTAGTTTAACTTCTATATTTGATGAACACCACATAGATGAGTTCTTGCTGAAAAAAATATTTTAAGCAACACACAGCATGTCAAACAAATCTGATTTCTTTTTATGAGGAGGTGAAGCAAAACCTTGGACAGAGGGATGGTGGTAGACATGATATACTTGGATTTTGAAAAAGCATTTGGCACAGTTCCCCACACGGCTACTGTGTAAGGTAAAGTCTACAGGCTTGGAAAAATCCATATGAAAATGGATTGGGCAACTATATGGCAAATGAGGTCTAATGTTGATAAATGTAAGGTTATGCACTTGGGGGCTAAGAATATGCATGCATCATACATACTAGGGGGGTGTACAACTGGGGGAATCAATGCTGGAGAAGGATCTGGGGGTTCTGATAAATCATAAGCTTAATAATGACATGCAATGCCAAGCTGCAATTTCTAAAGCGAGCAAAATCCTCTCTTGTATTAAAAGAGGTATAGACTCCAGAGAGAGAGATATCATTTTACCCCTGTACAAATCATTATTAAAACCTCATCTGGAATATGCAGTTCAGTTTTGGGCATCAATTCACAAAAGAACATTGGGGAACTGGAGAACGTACAGAGAAAGGAAACCAAACTGATACGAGGCATGGAGGAGCTCAGCTATGAGGAATGACTAGAGGAACTGAATTTATTCTCTCTTGAGAAAAAGAGAGTAAGGGGGGATATGATCAACATGTATAAATACATCAGTGGTTCATATAGTGAACTCGGTGTAGAGTTATTCACCCTGAGCTCATCACAGAGGACAAGGGGGCACTCTTTACATATGGAGTAAAAAAGATTTATCTCCAAATACAGAAAGGTTTCTTCACAGTAAGAGCTGTGAAAATGCAGAATAGACTTCCTCAAGAGTTGGTTCTGGCAAGCTCCGTGGATTACTTTAAAAAAGACCTGGATTATTTCTTGGATACATAGAATATAACTGGTTACTAATATTTATAGGTAAAGTTGATCCAGGGAATATCCAATTTCCTCTCAGTCGATCAGGAAGGAATTATTTCACCTGCGGGATCACATTTTATCATGCTTGGCTGGGTTTTTTGCCTTCCACTGGATCAACTATGGGTGTAGTATAATTTTTTTTTTTTTTTTTTTAATGGTTGAAACTGGATGGACTTTTGTCTTTTTCAGCCAGACTAACTATGTAAGTATGTAAAAAAGTGGAAACAACAAAAGTAGTATGCAACAGTATATGCAGATGTTCTTACCTTCACAATTAACTCTGTCCCTGCTGAGCTCATACCCTGGATTACACTGGCAAACATATGAACCGATCATGTTGTAGCATTCTTGTGCACAAGGACTGGTACTACATTCATCAACATCTGTAAAATGACAAACACCATTCTTTACAAGTCCCAGTTTAAATAATGCATGAACAAAAATGCACCCAATACCAGACAAAGCTGTCCTTGTTCATTTCAGATACAGTTGGAGAGTGCTCAAACTTTCTTCCTGTTCCCCTGCCATCAGCACAATCTAAAGGGAGGCAGTATAGTTACAAAACAATAAAATATAAGAGGGTTTAAAGGGCCCTGCTCATAAGAAATTACAACCTATTAGGGTGGGGAGCATGGTTATAACTGTGGGATAGGTTGATGAAAGAGATAAAAGTTAATTTAGTTGGAGACATGATTCCCTGAAGTGATGAGTTTTCAGGGATTGCCTAAAGGCAGCCAGGGTAGGAGATAGCCAGACAGACTAAGGTAGAGAGTTCCAGAGGATAGGAAAAGTTCTGGAGAAGTCCTGGAGGCGAGCATGAGAGGAGAGGAGACAAGAGAATTTGAGATCAGGAGGTCTTGGGAGAAGCAGAGAGGACAGTTTGGGTTATATTTCGAGACAAGATTGATGATGTAGTTCGGGGCAGAGTTGTGGATGGCTTTGTATGTTGTTCTTAGTATTTTTCATTTAATTTGTTGGGCAATTGGGAGCCAGTGGAGGGATTAGCAGAGAGGGGTGGCAGACACTGAATGGTTGGTAAGGTGGATGAGTCTGGCAGCAGAATTCATGATAGACTGAATAGGGGATAGTCTATGGCGAGGTGAACCTGTGAGACGGGAATTGCAATGTCAAGAAATTAAAGTGTTACTAAACCCAGGACCCTGCATTCACTATATCTGGTCTCCCACAGTACACAGAACATGGAAGTGCAATAATTTTTTTTTATTTGAATTAATATCTTTTCTTGTCAGCAGTTAGAGCAGTCTTGTGACTTCTATCAGTATCCAGCCGAGCACATGGTAAAGCTTGTAGGAAGAGTTTTCATTTTGCTGTAGGAGGATGCAGGACTCCTGTGTGGAAAGTGCTGATTGTCCCTGTTCTGATCACATGCACTCTCCCCCTCCAAAAAAAAAAAAAACCTTTCTAGCAATACACACCTTATCAGTAGATAAGAGGGAGACACTGGAAAAAGAGGAGGATCAGAGACATCAGGATCAAACAGCGTTTTTACAAAATGCAGAGGATTGACACCTTAGGTTCCATAGTGAGTATAACAAGCATGTTTTACTGCATATACAGACTGATTTTACTGTTGTGGGTTTAGTAATGGAGACACAGACCACAGACCACTGTTGTGGGTTCTTATGGAGACACAGACCACAGTAAAAGCAATTTATTGCTGTAACATAGACAGGGGTCAGAACATATCTCATATTGTGGTCTGTGTTGCCACTGGAGGGACATCCCCTCACTTTCTGTCAAAGGGACATTCTGTGTGTCAGGGTATCTCCCCAGTGAGAACAAAGACAGCAATAAATACTTTGAATATAAGAAATGACAGAAGAGAGGAGGACTTTTGTAGCACCCAAAACGTGTTTGCAATCCTTGGTTGACTGCTATGTTTAATAAAGGCCATTCTGGACACATGAGTTGGTGCTTTTGTCATTTCTTACCTCTGAAGGTTTTTATAAGGGGAACTTTCAAACCTCCTGTAATGTTAGGGAGCTACCAGCTAAACCTACAAACAAATGCTAGGACCCATCCTCACTAAACCCTTTACCCAAGAGCCCAGCACTCCTTCTTTATACTATTGCACAAATAATAAAAAAGTTGATGTATATTCTACATTTTGCCTACTCTACCCAAAACTAAAAAAAAAGTTTCATGCTGCAATTTGTCTTTAAAGCCCAATTGAACTTTCCTTTTAAATTAGCTAAGTATGGAGAGCCAATTGGCATGGAAGATACATTTGATGATGACAGAGCTCTAGCTGTTGCTCATAGGTGGGCGCATAGAAAGATAAAGTTTAGCTAATAAAAAAAAACTCCCTACTGCTTTAGTTACATCACTTACCTGTAATGAAATATGTCTCACGCTATGCAGGCAACTGGAAACTGGAGAACTCCTCACTGCAGGGATGCCTGTCCTCTTCCTGTCTTTGAACTTCTGGAACTGTAGTGGTTAACGGATTTGTGTCTTTAGGAAGAACAGCAGTACAGATGGTCTGACGGGGACACGCCCCCCATCCTTCCTCCTACTCCATTCTGAAAAGCTCTTTCATTGATTACACTGCTTTTACCATGATCTGTGAATGGGGGACTATATTCTATGACTCATCAGACTCTGCCCATTCACAGATCATGTTACAAGCAGTGTAATCAATAAAAGAACCTTTCTAAATGGAGTAGGAGGAAGGAGAGAGAGTATCAGGAAGGTAGTAGCTATAGTGCAGCTGAAGCCTCTGGACATACACGGCTGCAGATGTGCAGGTGTCCATTCTTCTGTGCATATTCTCACACATTCTGCATTCACGCACGCGTGTGCACGCATTCCCTGACTGCCCGTCGTTAATGTTCGCCAATGAGCCTATTTAAACTCAGCAGTTCTGTTAGCCTGTGCCACCTGATGTGTAGCTCCCTCTGTATTCCTGTGCCTGTTCCTGTATGTGTTACCTGCCCGAGGGCCCGGGTCAGTAGGGGGCCCCATGAGATGCCCCTGGTACCTTTCATTGGCTTTTTCATAGGCTTTTTGGGTGTGGGCGAGGACATGGGGGCCCCACGATCCCCTATTGCCCGGTGGCCCCATGAGCTGTCAGTCCGCCCTGCCTGTGATTGACTTCAACTACTGTTCTGCCTGCTGGTTATGCCTTATCTGCCCATCTGTTACCAACCAGGCTTGTCTGACCCTGCATCCAGCTTTGCCAGCCTGCTCTGCTTCTAGCCTGTCTTACTGCGATGTCTGCCTACTGCCAATCTGCTCTGCTACCTGTCTGTCCTGCTGTGATGTCTTCCTGCTGCCAATTCAGTCCTTCTGTGCCATACGCTGCCAGTCTACTCTGCTGTGACGTCTACCTGCTGCCAGCCTGCTCTGCCACCAGCCTGTCCATCCGTGACATCTACCTACTGCCAGCCCGCCTGCTACCAACCTGCTCTGCTATGATGTCCATCTGCAGCCAGCTGTTCCTTCTGACAGTGAAGTGCCAGCTATTCCTACACTGACTACAGGACTGACCAGGCACTTGAACCTCACCGTTCTCTTGTGGTTGCTGTTCCACCTTCGGTGGCCTTTGTGCCAGAGCTGTACGAGAGGCCTTCTCTGCCTCACAAGCGAGGTACATGACAGAGTGTGTGCCCATCAGACCATCTGTACTGCCATTCTGCCTGAAGACCCAAAGCTGTTAACTTTTGAAGAACAAGATGTTTGGGAACAGGAAGAGGACAGGCATCCTTGCACTGAAGACTTATCCAGGATTTAGCTGCCAACACAACGGCTGTTGTGTATTTCTTTTTTTTCACCTAAAGTTGATCTGATACATAAATAATCAAAAGCTACGTGGGGTGAAAATTAATTGAAAGTATATTTTATCAGAAAGATCCTATATGTACTCACATATGACAGAGAAATTCAGATCTCAGTAAAACAGGGAATTCAAATCAGAGAGAGGCACAGAAGAGCTTTTTTTTTGTTGCAAAGGTAAAAGAAGGTGTCCTGCGATGTCAGAAACTAGGTAGACCTTTTAGAAGTTTGAAATGGAACTAAACTCTAGGAAAAAAATTGCTAGGTGGTTGGAATTTTTGGCAGAAGAAAGATGCAGAGAATAGGGCTGGTGCTGTGGATGATGCAATGTCTGTGTGCATTGCACTACATAATCAATGGGCATCCAATGGCCAAAAAAGAAGTCTGGGAGATACCCAGAAGTAGCTCCAATGGAGATGGTGACTGCCAGGAACAGAGCATGGTATGGGAAGCTGATCAGTTAGCACTTATTTTGGTATGGGAAGCAGGGTATACAGTAGAATTATAGGCAAACATGTTTTTTAATTTGGATAGAGTAAGGGATGGTTATATCTCCATCAGTATTTTTTTTGCCATCTGTGTCCCATTAGGGAGATTTACCTTACTTCCTGTGCCATAACCAAAACAGGAAATGAGAGGAAATCCCTGCAAATAAGGGAATCCCTTGGGACCTTTTAAGTCACCAGAACTAGTGTCCCCATTGGAAGATTTTCCCTCTATTACTTTTCTGGGAACAACTAAAATATGGTATTTTCTTTTACTTTCACTTTCAATTATAATGGTAAACAGGGAAAACAGAGAGGTTGACACTCCATAACAGGAGCACGGACAGCAATAAAAACATAATAGGTGTTCTTTACTCTGTCCAAAACTGAAAAAAAAAAACCCTTTGACTTTAGTTTAATACTTTAAAGTTGAAGTTTAGTTAAAAAAAAAAACAGCTTTACTCACATAGTCACATCACTTACCTGTAATGTATGCAGGGCAGTCATCAGAGATTTTGGGGCCCCTTACATGGTTTTAGGCTGGCCCTACTCCCCCCCCCCCCCAGGCCTGACCACCAACATTCCTCAGGGTCTGTTTACTGGCGGTTACACTGAAACTGCCACTGGCCATTACACCGAGTCTATTAGTGCACCCTCTTTTATTTTAACAGTCTTACAGCTTAATAAGTGAAAATCAAAAGTGTATTCCAAGTCATCGGTGCTTTCAAGATTTATCAGTAAGGAATTATATTTTGGCCAAAAAATATGAAGCCTGCCACCATGACAAGGTAGACTCTTTTGAGCAACACTCTACACTAATGCCAACTGCACTACCTTTTCAAAGAGAAAGTCCAATCCAGCAAATAGACAGACCCAAATATTCAGCAAAGAGACATCACAATCCAGCAAATAGACATCCCCTATATTCAGCAAAGAGCCAGCCCCATATATTTCAGCAAAGAAACAGGCCAATTCAGCAAAGAGACATCCCAATCTCACAAACAGACATTCCCATATATTTAGCAAGAAGACTGCCCAATCCAGCAAAGAGACATCCCAGATCCAGCACAGAGACATCCTCATATATTCCGTCCAGCCAGCAGAGACATCCTCATATATTCAGCAGAGATGGCCCAATTTAGCAAAGAGACATCCTCATATATTCAGCAAATAGACAGCCCAATCCAGCAAAGAGACATCCCCATGTATTCAGCAAAGACACATCCCAATCCAGCAAAGAGACATCCCCTTATATTCAGTAAAGAGAAAGCCCAATTTAGCAGAGACCTCCCCATATATTCCGCAGAGACATCCCTATTGATTTAGCAAAGAGGCGGCCTAATACAACAGAGATATCCCCATATAATCAACAAAGAGACATCCCCATATATCCAGCAAAGAGATATCCCCATATATTCTGCAAGGAGACAGCCCAGTCCAGCAAACAGACATCCCATTCCAGCAAAGAGACAACCAGGTTGGTTGCTATTGGTTGCCAGGACGCCAGGCGAGGCGATCCTAGCAACCAATAATTTTGGCAGCGGTGTTCAGAGGCAGTCTGAGACTCAGAAGCCAGTAGAGTGGCAGCAGCACCAGCGGGAGATGGGACTAGTTGTTTATCAATGTGAATCAAAAGGGGAGGTGTCAACTTGGGGCCCGGGCCCCTCGGGATGCCCGGGTCCCCTGCATCTGTATAGTCTGTCCCCTCCTGATGGCAGCCCTGGAAGTATGCCCCACATTTTGCAGACTGCTGGATTCTGTAGAGATCTTTACTGCAGGGATGCCTATTCTCCTCATGTGAATGAACTTCGGGAACTGCAGGGCTTAACAGCTTTGCATCCTCATTAAGAACAGCAGCACAGATGGTCTGACAGGGACCTCCCTCTCCTCTGTCATTGTAAAAGGTTATTTCACCAATTACAATGCATGCAACATGATAAGTGAATGGGGGAGTCTGATGAGTCACATAATTCTCTCCCCTATTCAAAGATCATGTTACAAGTAGTGTAATCAATGAAATAACATTTCTCAATGGTAAAAGGAGGGGCTAGTCCCTGTTGTACCATCTGTACTGCTGTGCTGCCTGAAGATGCAATGCTGTTAACCATTGCAGCACTAAAAGTTAATTGACAGGAAGAGGATAGACATCCATGCAGTGAAAATTTCTTCAGGATCCAGCTGCCTGCACAATTTGGGACATCCATCATTCCAGGTAAGTGATGTGAATAAGCTGTAGGGATCTTTTTTTTATCTAAACCTCTGCTTTATCACCATTCTACCTAAATAATTTGGAGCATTCTTAACATTTCAGTGGATCATTTGCTCAAGACTACTTTTAATGTCCCTGCAAATTCACAAGACTATATAATATATTTTACTTTTAGAAGATATATTTGATCACACACCTAACCACAATCATAACTTACCCACACAGCTGTAGTTGTTTGCTGCAAGCTGGAAGCCAGGGTTACATTGACAGTAGTAAGATCCCAGTGTATTGACACAAAGATGATGGCAAAATGAAGATAATGAACATTCATCAATGTCTGCATTGTGGAGAAATGAAAAATACATAAAAAGATGATTTGGTTTAGGAACATGTTAAATGAATCCAACAATACAGCCAAGCATATCACATTCTATTATTGGTCTATATATGTAAATATCTATCTATCTATCTATCTATCTATCTATCTATCTATCTATCTATCTATCTATCTATCTATCTATCTATCTTCTTTAAAGTGGAATACCAAATGCCTTATTGCTCTTTTTACATATAGGATTAAAGGGAAAGTACAGTGTATTTTCAGTTAGCTATAATTTGATTATTAATGTAGCTTATTATTATTTATTATTATACAGTATTTATAAAGCGCCAATAGTTCGCTCAGCGCTGTACATTACAAAGGGGGACAGAACATGTGACAGAACAATACCAATACAATGCAAAACATGAGGGGATCAAGGGCCCTGCTCTTTCGAGCTTACAATTTAGCTTATACCCTTAAATAATTGTAATGTGACTTTAATGTGACCATACACTATACATTCTGTATGTACAAGCTGCTTTTAATCTACCAATAGCTATGTAATGTAAAGGCATGTTGGATATAAATTTTAAGAATTGTAAAGAAATAGTTTTGGTAAATTTAAATGAGATTGTGCAAGGAATGTACAACCAGATTGTAGTGTGTATGGCCACCCTTATGTATTTTTTGTTATTGTGCTAAATGTAGATTTTATTGTAGATTCCCCACTAGAGGGAGCAAACACTCTTTTTACAATTACTCTGTCACTTCTTAACAACTGTTGCGATATGATATTTCAAAGGAAAAATATGCATTGTTTCAAATGAGCTAGTATTTGTGGCTACATTCTTGTTCAGTCTGCTAGTAAAATCAGTAGATTCCTCCATTCACACTAAACAGCATGGATTGATACATCTGTACTGGCGATGATTGTATTCAAGCAGCCACAGCATCTAGGGCTGCTTGAATACCTGAACAATGACTGCGTTTGATTTTTAAATCGAGTTTTGTCGCGCCAGGTGGTGACAGCAGGACCAACCACAATTCAAATTTCACCCAGTTCAGCAGAAATCAGCCAAAATTTGAGCCATCAGTGTCGGATCAAACTCTGTGGAGGCTGCTAGGCAGTTAAAACCTTTGGGCCCCCTTGCAGGTTTCTGGAGGTTTCTCATGCATGTGCTCCAGTTGGATAAAATTGAACTAAGTAGAGTGCACATTGCCTGCTAGATGGAGATGACCATCACTATTGTACATTACACTTATGTAGGTTGCACCAAATATTTTTAAAAAATTGACAGCTAATAGAAGACAAGATTTTAAGAAACAAACTGTAATGTGAACCTGATGTCTATGGTTTATGTACTTTAAGTTGTTATTGGGTACATTACATTAATATAGTATTCTCCCTATAGAATCTTTGATGAAAAGTTTTTGTTTCTTTGAGCTGATTAATTTTTTCTATCCTTTGTAAACAATTTAAGAAAGCTTTATTGTAATTTTCTTTCAAGATCAAATCAAAATTATTTTGATCTGTTATCATGGGGCCCTAAACCCAGGGCTAGATCTAACCTGTCTGATGTGAGAGTGCAGTAAAAAATGTCAGGGGGGAGGATGCGAGGTCAGTAGGGCAGTGTACAGGGGGATCAGCAGGGCAGAGAATAGGGTCAGCAGTTTGTAGGGCAGTGTACAGAGGCCATTAGTTTGTAGGACAGTGTACAGTGGGTTGTCAGGGCACTGTACAGGGGTTAGCAGGGTAAAGGACATTGGGCAGCAGGGCAGTGTGCAGTGGGTCAGGAGGGCATTGTACAGAGGGTCAGCAGGGCAGAGGATGTGAGTTCAGCAGGGGAGTGTACAAGAGTCAGTAGGGCAGAGGATAGGGGTTCAGCTGGGCAGAGGATAGGGGTTAGCAGAGCAGATGACAGGGGTCAGCAGGGTGGAGAACAAGGGTAATTAAGGCAGAAGACAGGGTCAGTAAGGCAGTGTACAGGGGTCAGCAGGGTAGAGGACAGTGGTCAGCAGAGAAGAGGACAGGATCACTTCTGGGAGAGCACACAGCAGATCTCCTCCTCCCCACTCAGCATACAGCTGAGATTGGATTCCCTTACAGACACAGGCCAGATCTGCACAGTGTGTAGCTGACTACTGCAGCTTCGCTGCAATTCTGATCTGGAAATTTCACAGGTCAGAACTGCAGCAAAGCAGCCAACTACACACTGTGCAGATTGAAGCTGTGTCTGTAAAGGAATCTGATCTCATCTATGTGCTGTGTAGGTGGGAAGGAGGAGATTTGTTGAGTGCCCTGTGTGTAGTGAGGGAAGTGCCAGGACAATCGCTCACAATGAAGATGACAAACTGTGCTCTCCCCCCCTCCTGATGTGTCAGCATAAATCCCTACCCCTAAAAAAACACACACAGCATGCTCACCCCCCTCTGAAGAACAAATTCACCCCAAACAAAAATGCCAAATTAACCCTCCTCCCAGCACAAATATGTTTCCTCCAACACCTCCACCTAGCCCAAATACACCCCCCCCATTCTCCCCCACTTAGCACAAATCTCCCTCACCCAAAAAATCACCCCTCCTTGCACATATCCTCTTTCCCTTCCACTTATCCATTCTAGCACAAATCCAATCCCCCAAATACCCCCACCCAGCAAAAATCCCACCCAAATTCCCTCTTAGCTCAAATTCCTTCACTCCCTCCAAGCACAAATCCCCTCCCTCATCCCCCCTCTTTGCCCAATCCCCCCCCTTCCCCCACACTTATCCCGCCACAAATAGCCACTTGTCCCCTCCCTTCCATAAACCTCTCATCCCAAGCATAAATGATTGTAACCCCCATCCCCATCGTGTTTCCAGTACAATTCCATACGTGTACCTTAAGAGGGGATTTCCCTCTCACTCCCTGCTGATTCTATAGAAAAGTAAGTAGGAGGAAATCTCTCTAATGAGACCAAGATGGCAAAAACCTTCTATTCAAAATAATGAAAAAAGTTTTGGCTTTAGTTCTTCTTTATCCAACTTACTACTGTCATATTGTAAAACAATGGTGGGGTGGAGGATTGCCATCTGGAGTGCCATCTATACATCATTCCAGATATAGCCCTTAGACTGCAAGTGCCTCCATTAAAGTAGAACTAAACTTTTCTTTTTTCTATTTCTGCATAAGGTAAGGGATGGTTATAGCCCTTGTCAGAGCCGGTGTTTCAACTAGGCAAACTAGGCGGCCGCCCAAGGTGCACTGCCAACTAGGGGTGCCTGGGTGCAGCACAGGCTGGCACTCTCTCTGTGTGAGATGCCGCCACATCATGAATGATCCTTCAGGTGAGGAGAGGGGCTGCAGAGGGGAGGAAGAAAGGACCGAGGAAGATGCCGGGTGTCTGGCACCAGTGTAGCTACTGAGCTGCCGCACCTTCCAGTGTTCCTCTCAGACCCAGTCCCTTACTGCAACCTGGCTGGTGGCTGCTGATCACTGTGAAGTACCACCCCTTCTCTTCCCATGCATCAGCAGAGGCAGAGCTGCGCCTGGGGAGGAAAGTAATGTCTGTCGCTGATGTCACATGTCTGTGTGAGTGTGAACCAGCCGGACATCAATCACTTGTGCAATGTGGCATTGAGTGATGACATCATCACAATCCCACAGCCTGCTCTTCTAGTGCCTGCTGGGCTTTTTGATCTGTGTCAGTGTTGGTGATGATGTGTTGTGTTGGATCTGTCACTGTGTGGGATCGCTCAGTTCAGCTGCCTGCTTTCACAGCATTTTATCTCCCCCCATTGCCTGGGGAATTCCAGCCTGTGATCTGTCATCCTCCACTCACTGCAACTGTCACCCTGCCACTGCCAGCCACATATATAGTCCATCCAGGACACTAATATTCTCTTTAATATTGGTGCTTTGTAGCATCTTCTGGCACTTATTTTGGCAAATTTAAAAAAATGTAGCAGTTTCATATTTTGCTGATGTAATATTTTCTACTGTTTAAAATTTTTTTTTTTGGGGGGGGGGAGCGCAAGTAGCTGGTCTTGCCTAGGGAGAAAAATAGTCTAGCACCGGCCCTGACTCTTGTCAAGTTTTTTGCCATCTGTATCCCATTAGGGAGATTAACCTTCAATTCATGTCCCATAGCCAAAAAAGGAAGTGAGAGAAAATCTTCCAATGTAAAGGAATCCCTGGATGTCACCAGGGTCACCAGAAGGAGTGTCCCCATTGGGACATTTACCCCTGTTATTGTTCTGGAGACAACCCAAAATGTTTGGTTTTTCTTTTACTTTCACTTTCAATGATAACAGTAAACAGGACAAATAGAGAGGGAGAATCTCCCTAACAGGGAAACAGACAGCAATAAAATCTGACAGGTGTTCTAATCTCTCTCCACTCTATTCAAAATGAAAAATTAAAAAAATGTTGTCTTTAGTTACACTTTAATGTCTGTTAACTGAACGGAAAGCTCCATTCACAGACACTGTGTACAGAATCAATTAAGGCAGCTCTGTACCACACAGTCGCTGTGATGACCAATCACAGTGGTCACTTATTGTAAACAGTTTAGTGTTTACATCTAGGAGCCCTCCCCTTCCTCTTACAACAGACGAAGGGGAAAAAGCAGGAAGTTATGACTGAATGACTGATTAATTCATTAGTTGAAGATCAACAGCTGCTGCTAGTAAACAGAATTTTAACCCTTTCACTTCTTCTCCTCTTCTGAAAATCTTCTGAAAATCTGTTCTCCTGTCTCTCTGCTGTGACCTGTATATTTACCCCATTCACCTCCCTTACACTGCACTTCTGACCATTAACCTCTTTACTATCCTTCCCATTGCCAACCCATTCATTAACCCTCACCTCCTCCTCCATCTATGTATGACCTGTAACATTATAGTTAGTGCACCAATACCAAGCTCCATGTTTGAACCCCCTTAATGCCAGCATTTTTCTTCATTTCTAAAAAAAAATTTGCCAAAAATTAAATCCCGTTGGGCTATCTACTTTCCAAAAAAGGGTAATTTCTGGGATATTCATATATTATTATTTATGACTCGTAACAGAAAGTAAAGGAAACTTTTTATTTTTTAGCTGTCAATTATTTTTCTTTTCTACAGTAAAAATAAAAACCAGCAATTATTAAATTCCACTAATGAAAAGCTCTGTCTCAAAAAAAATAATATAAAAATAATTTAGTTACAATATTGCATGACCTAGTAAGTTTTCAATTAAACTCTCACAGCACTGAAAATGAAACAATGGCCTGGTATAGAAAAGGTATTACAGGCTAGTTCCTTCCTTTTGTATTTGGGTGGACCCACAGAGTGTATGGTGAGCTCAGATGGGAGACTTCAGTGATATAATATCAATAATTATATGTGTTTTTCTTGTAATATGGTTTGCAATTTCCGTTGTTGTTCATAGTTTTAAAATACACCCCTACTTCTCCTGAAGAAGCATGTATTACCTGCAAAACACATGCAACTCTGAAACAACCCTTTGGTGGAAACACCCCCAGCATTGGACATTGTTACCTTCTGAGTGATATTATATACTGTAACTATGTACCTTAATTTGGGCAGATGAGGGGTTTTGTTCCCATGGGTTATATGTAAATGGGAGGTATTGGCTATACGACTTAATTTGTAATAAGCTTTTAATGAATGTGGTTTTAAAATGTAAAATTGTATTTTTTAAATTTTGATCTATGTTGTCTTGGCACCAGAGAAATCCATCTTTATTAGAATTTAAACTAGTACTGAAGTGGTTAAATAAGCCAGGAAATGTGTGAAAGGAAAAAGGGTGAGTAAAATAAAACTGAAAGTGTAAAGTCAATTTTTTTTTAGTTTTGGATAGAGTGGGGGAGTTCCTGTAAACTTTTTTTTTTATGCGTGTGCTCCCTCTAGGGAGATTTACCCCTTTATTTAACCTGGTGACCATTGTCCCCTGGACATAAAATGATGGAAAATTCGAAATGTTTTCAGTTTTCAAGAAAGAAGAAATGTTCAAACTTCTCCAGTTGGGACACCTGTCTCTATGACAACTCTCTAACACAGACATTGACTTTGGAGATAATTATTCTTATTTCCTGTTATGTCTTTAGGACATGAAGTGACAGGAAATCTCCCATAGCAAAAAATAGCCTGACAGGTGTTTTAACCCTTCCCTACATTTAAAACAAGCAAAAAAAAACCCAGACTGTACATTTTAATCTATTAGAAATACATTTGGAAGGTTAAGCATTTGTTAAAACTTCACATTTAGCATAAATATGACCTTTTTACATGCAACCAGTACCTCTTGCATGCTCGATAATATTGTTATACAATATATTAGTTTTCTAGGAGAAAACCCAGTCAATAAATGCAGTAATACCCACCAATGCATTGTTCTCCTCGCTTCTGGTATCCTCTTGGACACAGACAAGTGAACGTTCCCCTCACATTAGTGCACACTTGATCTGGTCGGCAATTGTGTGCTCCACTGAGACACTCATCTATGTCTGAGAAACAAAAAAAAAAAAACAAGAACATTTTCTTTGTCCTATTTAAGCAGCGTTGTAATTTTTATCTTGTTTTTACCCAACACACAGGCTAAAAAAGTCAGACTTTTGACATTTTGATGGTGGGGATTTGCTATTTCAGCTGACACTTTATGAATTTTTAAGCTTGACATGTCAAAATGTCAGATTTTTAGAACAGAAATGTGATTTTCAAAGTAAGAGAATCCCTGGTTTGTATTAGATAGCTTTTTTTTCCTTATCTACTGTATATCTAAGAATTTCTAGGAAGTACATATACAGGACAGGATGGTATGAAACTGAGGGGGTGAACCTGGGATGTCAGGTATCACCAAAGGGTCTTCTGTAGATATAGTGGGCTTCTCAGCCTAATGTCAATAAACAAGGATGTCCATTTGATGAGCCCACTGGCATACCTATATCCATAGGGGTTAAAACATCAAGTCCTATTAGTTCTACTGTATGTCTCTTTTGTGTTGCAAGTGAGAGCTGCCATCTGGGAGTGCATGCCGCAACTCCATCTTCACTATAAGGCGCTCAGGCAGTACTGGGCACCCTCAGTTGTTGCCCCTCATGGTAAATGTTTGCCTCCCACTTGCAGCACAACTGTTAATCTTTGCTTGGTCTGTTTTAGTAAGTTGTAATTTCATTTCAGATGGTTCGCATGACTTTTACTTTTTGACTGCCTCCTCTGAAATTCAACCCTTAGCTATGCTTTTGACTTAACTTTTTCCTGTATTTTTCCATGAGCAAAAACTAGGAATATCTAAGCTCCTTAGAACAACAAGCAGTGTTCTGCTGATCCTGTGAACTCATCACTGAACCGTCAAAGAATGATGATCTTGGTGACGTACCTATCCTTGCCTTTGTCATTACACCAATAACAACATCAAAAGTTCCGACTTACCATAGTGATTAAAACATCAAATTCTATTACAAATTACTATCTAGGATTACTAAGAAGTACATTTACAGACACATGCTCCTTTTTAAAGTGTATGTGTGGGCAAAATAATAAAAATGATGCAGTAGATCATTTCAATACCAGCACAGTTTCCCATGCTTTATGCCCTTAAAGACCATTTAAATACAGAATCATAATACCTGGTGATGTGCCAGAGATGTACTCAGCTGATATGTCCCTTTGTGAGCTGACAACACCCAGCTTTTTTGGGGACTAAGTGATGTCAGTCTTGCCCATTTGTCTTTTGCTAAACTATGTAAATCCACCCGCTTTACCTTCCCCACAACATAGACATTAATCATTCTGTAAATGAGAACTAGGAGGTTATCACCCGAAGATAATGCATAAGCATGCACAAGACACAGGACAACTCTCAAATTATGACATGATCAACAAGCAATTTTTGCACTAATCACAAAGATATAACAAAACACTTTTAATGTGATCTGTACACAACTTGTAGTGCCGCTCCAAGCCAGGAAACGTATCTCCCCACTGGCCATCCAGTGATAGTAGCAGGCACCAATGCACCATTCAGATGTGTTAACACAGTACCGAAAAAAGGAAGAGACGCCCCTCCCCAACCCCGTATTTCATCAGTAGAAGGATGTGGCCTTATTCAACTAAAGCTCCAACCATGCTCTTTGATGCGTTTCACCCCACCCACTGGGACTTGGTCTTGGAGCTCTGTGGCCAAGCACCAGTGGGAAGGGTGAAACACATCAGGGAGCATGGCTGGAGCATCGTTGGCTGAGGCCACATCCACCTACTACTGAAGCACCGGGTCGGAGAGCGGTGTCTCTTCCTTTTTTCAAATCAATTTGAATGGTCTATTTGACAGAGAAAAGGGTAGCAAATAAAATATATTTATTGTTAAGGGTTACATGTCCTGATCATTTTCCCTGAGAAAACAATGCAGCAGTTGATAGAGTGCACATGTAGGCAGATATGGGTGGCAATGAGGCTGCAGGACATCAGCAGTGCTGATATGCAACAAAGGATGATAAAAAGGTATAATTTTATTAAAATATAAAACAAAAAAAAATGTATGTATAAAATAATACAGTGTACCTCAAAATATTGAGTTTTGGGTTTTCTATTTTGATCTGTGATTACTGTAGTTATAGCTTTAACTGATGTAGCTCCCCTGCCCTGGGTTGGCTAATTTTAGTGTGATGGCTGAGCTGCAATCTGTTTGATAGGATTTGCAGGTTCTCCCTAAATCTGATGGCTGGTTACTTCTGCCTGTTGGGAGAGTAAAGTTCCTCTTTAACATGTGTGGCAGCAATGTGCCCTGCATTGAAAGCTTCATGCCCTGCATTGAAATATAACATATTCTTGTTTAAATCAGCACATACCAATGCATGGCATTGGTGTAAACTGGGACATTGGGATCAAGGCAATCTACGTAATCCGTGCATTGAGCAATGCAGGTCAACACTGCCCAACATAAGGGGTGCGATTGGGCAATGAAGCAGTCTAAAAGCAGGTAAAAGGTTACATAAAAACACCTGTGAAGAAATAAGACACATCTCAAAGTGATCTCTGTAACACTGGAATACATGCTGCAGTTGCCCAGCTACACAATCCATGTGAAACTCCTCCACTGGTATCACTGAAGCCACTATGTATGTTACCAACCTTAGTTTGACAGTTATTGCATAGCATGCAGAGCAGATTGCACACTAAGGTCTATCTATGCAACTTCCCATTAGCTTTCCAAAGGATAGAGAATATTGTGCAGGGGAATATGGAAGGAATGCCTCATTCCCACATAAACATCATAGTTACGCTCTGATCTGTAATCCACACCATGGTTCTTCACTCTCCCCCCTCACATGCCCAGTACTGTGCCAAAATAACACCATAAAGGGGGACACTCCAGGAAAGAAAATGAAAATTAATAGAGAAAAGTGTGAAAGATGATTTCTTGTCATTGTCTTCCTTAGGATACATCATGAGACCAATATCACCCTTCACTGAGAAATGTAACCATCCTGCACTGATTACATAGTACATATCCAATGAAACATATTAACAAAAGACAAGAGCTTATCTCAATCCAATTCTATGATTAACAGTATATAGTTGTATTCCGATTTTTGTTCTAAATAAAATAAAGCCACAATAAAAGCTTATCAGCAGATGGCCCATTCAAAGTAACGGCATTCCTTGTTTCAGAATAAAATAATATAATCACATGCACAGTCTTGTAACCCTGGAATGTAAATAGATTGCAATTTTGCAAAACAAGCCTGGGAGAGTAGAACTTCTGTCAAGAGTGAACATTTCTGGTGCTCTGAATACCGAGAATGCCTAGTCAAGGATTTTCATCTTCTGAGTCACTGCTAGGTGAGATTTTGGCCTCTAGTCACTAAAAAGCACCAAGGGAGCCATTATGAGTGCTGAGGTTATCACATCACATCTTATACTGGCAAATTAAATAAGAAATGATTTGCTAAAATAAGTGAGAACATCAGTTTTCATAAATGTGCCCTAGAATACCTTAATTACTGTCTAATTCTTTGGCACTAGTTTTTTTTTTAAAGCAGTAGCCAAACTTCATTGAAAAAAAAAGCTTGAGCAGAAATTTCTTCATAGACATAAAGGCAAAAATACAGAAGATGCGTCTGAACAATTACGCTCTTCCAATTCTAATTTGGGACACCTCCACAATAAATAAATAAGATCCTTGTGGTCCCTTTGGCAGTGACCACACAGGGGATCTTACCTTGAGGCATCACCAGCAAGGCTCCCATCATCCATCCACTACACATCTGCATCAGAGGCTGGTCAGTAGCTCTGAGGAAAAGGATTCGTCCCCGAAACGCGTCAGATTTGACCGCACTGACAGTTGGAACACCTTGCTTGCCGTTGTGGCCATCGTCATTATGCAAATGATTTTTAGATACATGCTTTGTCTGTGAGTATGTTTTTATTTTTCACTCCTTTCAATAAACCTTGGATAATGCACTAGGTGTGTGCGCCACCTGTCTATTCTCTATCTAGGACACAGAAGGAAGTTCAGTCTTCCCTCCTCTATCCAATACGTAAAAAAAAATGTTTTGTCTAGAGATACTGTTTTTAAAAAAAGCTAAACTCACAAAAGAATACTAAGGGGTCCATTTACAGTATAAAGCAGAGGTATGTCTACAATTATACTGCTGCATTAAAAAAGAACACAGCATATACTGTATATAAAGTAGAATAAAAAATGAATGAGGGAAAGAAAAACAAGGAGGAGAGCCCAAGCAAGAGAACTTCCAAAATCATGTGACCACCCTTTCCTCTAATCATAGAGTTCTCTCTGTTGTTTTAAGCAGAGGGAACTCCATGTGACACCACACCCTGCATTTTATGAATGAGTCCACAGTGTGATATATAGAGGATAGCAATATTTGCTTTTTGATATACAGTAAACTTCCCTTCATTGTGCAGTGCACTGTATAACAGGATTGCTTTTTTAAAAATAATAAATGCAATTATGCAGTCTTTAAAAATCATTAAAGCTAAACTCCAGGAATGTGACAAAAACAACCATTGCAGTGGGACCCCATGCACTGCAAGGGTTAAATGATGTTCAGGCTAGGGGCTAGGGTGGGGGTTTGCAACCAATAGATCATGGACAGGTGACTGGTAGATGTGGTTTGAGCTTGTTGACCAGTCATTCCAGGGCATCAAACAGAGTGCAATGCAAAGGAACTACTTCTAAAGTTTGAGTTGTAGTAGGGAGCAATAGCAACATAATCCATTGCCTCCTCTGTAGTGCTGGCTCCTGTCCCAAGTGGAGTGATATCACCTGCACTCCACCTCTTATCCCGGCTGGTGGTCTCCAGAGTGGTGCCAGCAGCAGGAAAGATGAGATCTTCAAGTCAGTGTGAAGCAATACACTGGGCATGATAGTATAGATCTGCTTTGACACTGTAGTGATGTGGTTTACCCACACTGCAGGGGCAGTGCAGTATACAGTTGTGGCCAAAATTATTCAACCCCCACTGAAATTGAGTGTTTTGGCCAGTTTGACATTGCTTTTGATCATTCAGTCATCT